TAGTTTCTTACGAATTAGAAACTCAAATTATCTATATTGACAAGCTAGGATATAAAAAAAGAACCTGCCCACTTCTTCTATTTTTGGAAATACTTCCTTATGTACACTTCTTTGCTCTCTCATAGCATTATAGCCAATCAAAATCACGTGGTTTCCTTGAATCTCGGAAGGAAGGAGTAGGTGAAAATGTTGTTTGTAAAACTATTTTTTTAGATTCAAATACAGTTTACTTAGTAAGCCTGATAAATTACAGTGGAATTCTGCAATATTGATTGAGTAATTTAAAAACCTAAAAAGTAATTTTGTTTTACATCCTCGACTTTGAATATTTGGCAAATCTGAACAAGTAAGGTACGGCATGCTAGGTATAGCAAGCGAGTACAAACTTTTTTACAATCATAACTCAAAGAGATAATTGTTTGCTATACTTCTTTATTTACTGTTCTATGTTTTAAGAAAAATAAGTTTCAGAACTTATTTCTAAATAGTAATAAAGTATATCCATATATAATGCATAATAACTGAAAAATGATTGTATTTTACAAAATACTGGTCCACTAGAACAAAGCCAAGACAGGTCATTTTGTAAAGGCCAGTTTTATGTTGGTTATGAGGTTGGTCAAATCAACCAAACTTATACAGAAATAGTGAAAATAACACATAAAATACAAAGTTTAATAAAAAAAACGTTTGATAATTATCTGGAGGTTATAATGGCCATGGACAACTACATGAACAATCAATTCATCAATTTGGCCATGAAGAGCTGCTTATCTAGAAAAAAGAATGAGTTGAATCTCAAAACAGCAGAGAACACGAGAGAAATACAGTGGGTGGGAAATTTCATTATATTAGTTACCCTTCTTCACCAACTGTTTGCTGCTCATCTTAACCTTCTTCTTTACGTATTCAATGCTTAAGCCCTCTATCAAGAGTAAATATGACCCATCTTACAATTCCTAGAAAGAACCTCCTACACAGGTTAACATGCTTAGATATTCTTCAACCTAGCATCACAACAAAATGACATGTTCCAATTAATCACAAAATGCCAAGTCCTACAAAAAAAAAGCATACACATACTGATTTTGTTATCTAATATTAGCATTTATGTTTTCATATCACAAAAAATGCTTCCTTTATCTGTGCATACAAAAACCTATAAAATTGAAAATATTAAAAATAGTCATTATTAAGAACTATTAACAATATCAGAACAGCTTGCCAGATGTTTAACTATAGAAATTAACAAAAATTAAGTACAATATATACCTGGATATCAGGAACTTTGATGTTGGGTCGTTTTCTCTGAGCTTTAGGTCCAAATGTTGTTTCAAAACTTTCAGTATCTAGGATGTGGTATCTGGCTTGCTGATGAAATAAGAAAACAAAGCTTTTAAACTGCCCGACTGCTTTAAATCTGATTCATCAACCCAGTGTTTTCTTCTCAGTCTCAATATTATAAAAGTTAACATTTTCCTAAACTGAAAATTGATTTACAATAATAATTACCTCACTGACACTATAGCTATTTCTCGATCTCCAAAGTTTCCACTCTTTGCCCATCTCAGCACTGAAAACACTTGCTCCAGTCTTTTATACCCCACTTGAATGCCCTTGGCAAATTCTTATTTGCAAATTTCTCCACCAACTTCAATGCACCCTCTATCTACATACTATATATAAGCACCTCATTCAGATAATGTAATCACTTTTTGAAACATAAAATAGGCTTTTAATGGGGAGGTAGGGTGGGAGACTGTCAGCGGAGGTACATATTATTGAAAATACATTTTCAGTTTAGGAAAATGTTAACTTCTAAAACATACTTACCTCCATACTGACACTAGCTAGAATCCCACATTGAGAAGGTGGAGGAGCCAGTGCATACATGAACCATACAGAAAGTGTCTGTATAGAACAGGAGTGTACCAAGATAAAAATGGTACAAGAGTGGGGGAATTGCACTTCACCAGGAACTCGGTTCCTACATCAAAAGTGATATAGAATACGAGTAATTGTCAGTATAGGCCAGCCACAACCAGATAGCTGAGGTTCCACAACTCAGGGCTGGCTAGGGCTATTGGACTGCAATGTTATATATACTTTTGATTGGATCCCTACCTGTAGCCATAGAGTGATGCATTTTGCACCATTGGAATCACGATGAGAAAGAACACCAAAGTGGGCAAACTTTCTTCTCCACCTGAAGAAGTCCAAACGGCAATACCCCAGGCTTGGAATGATGGGATCATGTATGCCATTCTCAACCAAAGGAACAGAACTCATCTGGTCTGGAATTATGAACATTCATCCTCACTCTCCAACCAAGTACCACTTGCCCTTGGATTTATGGAGAGGATATGGAACCTGTGCTGAACTAAGGACCTAGGGTGGGACCACACTGCTTTCAGAATTATGAGATAGTGGACCTCCTTCTATGAACAATATAAGAAACCGACATTGATCAAAAGAGAAGGACCATTCACCCTTCAACCAGATAGCTTTGTGTCAAATCTGAACCAGAATTACAAGTAGGCTCCCATGGAGGCTGGTGTCACTCCTACTGACATCTGGGAAAAACATCCAGGGACCCAAGTAGGAGGGCCCCCCAACTTCGCTCCTATTCTTCAAGAGTGGAGGAACACACTTGAACACTCTGGAGTAAAAGCATCTGTCTGCCACCCCATCAACTAGAAACTGAGATGGTAAGGACTCTCAAGCTCCACCAGTAGAGTCTGGGGAGGTGGGGTAGTATGCATTGGGAGCCCTGAGGAACAGTACTCTGGATAGTGTGTGATAAGTGAACCAAGTACTCTACATTTTTAAAAGCAAATCGACCCCGATTTATTCAACCTGAAGATTGGTAGGGATGGGCAGGATCCCCTGTAGTTATACTCTTGATAGTCCATGAGTGGCAGTCCATAATACTAAGATAATACCATCTGGTAGGTACTTAGATGGTCTTATGGAACAAACCATTTCCACACAGCCTGTTGCAACTGGTACTAATTATAGTGAAAGTGGTTGCTAATGCAGAATTGAAAAGAGAAAGCATACCTGCTTAGGCAACACTTGCCACAAAATGGGACCAAGTGAAAAAAAAAAGGGGGGGGGGTATATGATCGAGGAAAATACTCACTTCTGGTGAAAATCTAACAAATATGGTCAAATTAGCTACAGGGGTTAGTCAAAAACTTTCTGAAGAGGAAACTGCCAGATCATGTAAGGAATGAGATAGGAAATTATTAGGAGTAATCCATATGCCAGACCCCACAATGTCCTCCAGAAAGCAATTCAACTGGGCAGCCATTGACAAGACAGAGATATAAAAAATTTGATGAGATGTGACACGCAAAAGATTCCTCTCCTGTAACGATAATCCATTATAGGCCATGTGAATCAATTTACAAAGCCACCTCGTAAGGGTAATGTGAGATAAATAATGGGAAAAAGAAGGATTCCATTGAATGAACAATCGATACCTACTACCTAAAAAAAAATTAGTATGAGCTATATAAAACATGAGGGCCATAACAGGACAAACAGTCAGGATTGGAGTGGTCATAAAAGTGAGAAATGGCTGGCAAATGGATTGGTGATAAGGATCTTTCTCCTTCCCTAGTCGTCAGAGTCTTGGACAGAAAGGACCTATTGGGGGTAAAGCAGGACAAATGTGAAATGATAAAGAGTCCGAAGCACAGTAACTGCAAAAAACTCCAACCAACAATGTCCACAAGCCAATAACAATAAAAAATACAATTTAAAAGAAAGGTGAAACAAAGGACACAAATCGAAGGGCTCAAAAGGAGGATGAGACAATGCATGTAGAACAACTGTAAAATCCCAATTTGATAAGTGAAAAGGTCATTTGGATCAAAGAATATGAATGGTTTTGAGTAGACCTGATAGTACTGAGGATTCAAAAAACCTTCCAACATTTGGAATACCAAAATAGTGGATAAGGATGCCTTATATACAGCAACTGTAAGCAAAGCAAGACCCCTCTCAATTACCCAAGTATGGTAGATACTTTAGGATGAAGAGGGTTGAAATTCCTTTTAAGACACCACTGATGATAAGTATTCCATTTCTGTTGATAAACGGCTGTGGTTGGCATACAGAGAGATTTAGTTAAGTACAGAGAAACTGTAGAAGTTAAACCCTTAAGTTGGGCAAAGGACCACATAACTTCCCAGCATGAAAACTGATTTCTGAACAGCTGGGTGAAGTATATCTGATCAAGATTGTCTCAGACTGCTATTGTGGAAGAAAAGGACATACCTGTAAATACTGAAGAAGGGGAAAACCACATGTGAACTAGCCAATATTGTGCAACCAAGATAACTCGATAGGGAATGGAGCGAATCATAATCAGAAACCATGGGAATGGCATACTGAGGTGAACCTGTCCAGTCCTGACTGACCAAAACTACTGTCAGTGCTTGAGGATGAGGTATTGGAGACCAAAACTGAGAGCAAATCCACTGAAAAACCTCTGATGCATCATCAATTCTCTTGGAAGAATCTGGTTGGATCAAGACAAGTGATCTGCAACTGAATTTATCACTCCTGGAACACGACATGCTAAAAGACTGATACAATAGGAATGTGCCCAGTAGAGAAAATCAAAGGTATGAAAACAAGGTCTCGAGAATGTGTGCATCCTTGATGAGAAATCTGAGATACCACCGTGGAATTGTCGAAACGTAACATGACAATTTTTCCCTTCAAGAGAGACAGACCTTGAACAATTGCCCAGTGTACTGCAAGGAGAACATTGATATGGAGGGTAGACTCGACTTTTGTCCAAATACCCTTGGAACTCCTGACCTTGAAGATAATTTCCCCATCCCTGAAGAGATGTGTTTGTGAACAGATGGATCTCGAAACAGAGTGGTGGAATTGGTACCCCAACAGTAGTGTTGTTCCGATCCAGCCACCATTCGCAATCGACAATGTTGCTCCTGAGTAATGAGACAGGATGATCCAAAGGATGAGAAAGCATGATTCATTGATCACTAAAGGGACCTCATATGAGCTCATCCCAAAGGAATGAGAAGCTCGAGGGATGCACATGTCTTCAATAGAGAGAGAGTCATCTATGCAGTAGAAGAAGGAAACATAAGTAAAGCCTGACGGCTCTTTCCATGGTTTGAAGCCTGATAGGGGTTGGTTCAGCACAACTTAAGAGTATTGAAAAACACACCCAGATGAAAAACATACTGAGTTGGTGACAGCATATATTTCTGCAGTCTGATAAGGAAGCCCACTTTTGTGGCTTCTGAAAGGAGAATCTGAAAATGTTGTTCTGTTATTTGACAAGATGGTGCCAGAAGAATCCAGTTAGTCATATAATGGTGTGTGAACAGGTCCAAGAAATGTAGGTGTCAAGAAAAAACTTGAACAACTCTGCACAAGACATAAGGTGCTGATGCAAGAATAAAAGTAGAGCCTGGAATTGCAGAACCTCACCCATGTGCATAAACCTGAGAAAATGCTGGGAACATTCCACTATGGGAATATAGAGATAAGTGAACTTTGTCATCCAGAGCCCTGGTGAAAAGTGCCATCGTAGGTTGAGAAAGGATTCCATAGTAAATCGAGGAGGATCTGAAATTGGTTGAGTAGAGACAGATAAATGATTTGACTCCAATCTTCTTGAGTATAACAAATAAATGGGAATAAAATCCCAAAAGAACTGGATCAACCTTCTACTACTGCCCTATTGACTCTCTTATTAACAACTCTCTTATAGCTTGGGAACAAAGCTCCACTCATCATGAATGTGTTGGAGGTGACAAGGATACAGGTTGTGCACATAAAGGTGGAGGTGATGTAAATTGAATGACCAACTCTGAATTCAGAGCATGGAATACTCATAGATCCTTGGTGAAAGAATTCCATATGACCATAAAGTGATGTAAACATGGTCCCACTGCTCATCCGCCCATGGGATAGACACAGACGCTATTGTCGACGGTCCATCCGAGCCAAATATCCTCTAGAATACGAGTGGAGACTCTATTATGGGAACCAATAGACCTGGGAACCAAAGGAGGGGTCGGGAAAAACCAAGAGCCGCACTCCCAAATTAATGCCAGAAAGGCAAAAAGTCAATGACAATAAAGAAGAATGTAAACAAACTGAATCAAATCTTGATTCCAGCATCTCTGGAATTCCAGCAAACAACCTGGGATGGAGAAAAGGAGCTTCTCGTAACTCCCCAAGGGCAGAAGACAGCAAATGAACACTTTTTAACAAAGAATCTTTACCCAATAAATCTCAACAACAAACCAGTTAGGAAACCAGAGAAAGAACTGAAGAAGACAATCTGACTGAGGTAGATGTCAGCAAAATCTCCAACTCTTCCTCAAAAGTTGGATCAAAGAAAAATATCTCAGGACAGTCGTGAGAGAAAGATGAATCCAAGAAAACAGTGATCACAGGTTCCAATCGAGACCTCCACAGGTCCAAAAGAGGGTCCATTTGTTGAGAATCCTGGCAGTGATAAGCCAAAGCATGCTGTTCTGATAAACATGGGGGACCTGTCATAGCTATCCCATTGTGTAACTGAGTGGCAAATCTCCTAGCATGAACAGCAATATCAGGAGAAAGAGGAAAAATCCAAGTAGTCACTTGCCGTCCTTGCTGCCAACAGGGAAGGGGGAGAGTCAAATGCAATAAGAGAGACCCAAAAAACCTCACAAACCCAAGTAACCAACTGAAAAAAAGGGGCTGGAGGTGGCTGCTCAAAATGATCATCTGTTGAGGCTGATCTAGTAAAAGAAGGAGCCAGAAAAAAAACGAGTCTAAAATCTCCCCAGCTGGTCTGGGTCATTTGCAAAAGCTGCCTCAGAATCCCCAGAAAAACACCCTCGGTCCACATATATGCATCCATCTCACATCATATTTCAGCAGTCTCGACTCAGAGTGACCACTCTCCTGGTTGTTGACAAATACCAAATAAAACAGCTGGAAGAGGAGAAGTCTGAATGGCTCCATAATAGAAACATTAACTTGGGAATTTATACCCATTAGGTATGTGTTTTTTGTTATTATTATTATTAATTTATAAATATACGAAGATATAACCATAGTAACACAAACCACATTCAAAGTTGCAATGTACATTGTGAATAATCACAACACTCCTGTTTATAGAAACCAGTACCAAATGTTTTGTCGAGGAAAAAGTGATTACATTATCTGAATGAGGTGCTTATATACAGTACCTAGACAGAGGGTGCATTGAAGTTGGTGAAGAAATTTGCAAATTAGAATTTGCCAAGAGCATTCGAGTGGGTATAAAAGACTGGAGAAAGCATTTTCAATGCTTAGAGGGGCAAAAAGGGGAACCCTGGAGATTGAGAAATAGCTATAGTATCAGCAGAGGTAAGTATGTTTTAGAATATTACAAATTATGTTTACAATCCTCTTTTTTAAATAATTACATCAAATACTTATGGTAATTCATGGGTAAACCTAGCTCACAGTTGCTTGACCTCTGCAACAAAAAGAGTTATGGATCTGACATTTAGAAGAACAGGAGAAGGAACTTGAACATGAAATCAAAGATGATGTATTGAAGTTTGAACAAAATAAAATGCTTTATTTAGAGCAAACAGCTGCTTGAAATACTGACAATCTGTAGTAGTAGGACTAGAGGAAATGGTGACTGTTTTTTGCAGAAATTATGTACAATATATCTATATACTACTAAACTTCTGAGATCGTTTGTTTGTTTGCTTGTCTGTAATTAAATACAGGAAAAATTGTGCACAATAGCACCATATTTGTAATGAAATGAGAATAGAAACAGAATAAAACAAGTTTCATTAAAATCGGGCCACGGGTTAGCAACGTTTTTTGGGCCACTTTTATGAAGATTTCTAGCATGAATAATTTTACATCACACTACCGTTCACACTTTTTACGAAACTTCTTCATTCAAATCTATTTCCCTGTCAATGTTAACCATCTTCTTTAAAAGGCGTAAGATGACAAAACAAGATCTTGAAGAATTCTCAATAATGTGCCTTGGTTATGG